ACTATGAACACAGTATTTTTTTTTACCAAGTTCACTTAAAATAATTTGGAGTTTAAGGGAACTTAAATGGGAGTAGGCGGATGAAGAGGCCTGATAAAGAGGATTTTATAAAATTAAATATAAAATGCCAATGATTGTTATTGTAACTTATTGTCATTTCATTGACATTTGAGTAGCTTACACTATAACACATATTATATAAAAATCTCACTGAAATTGGAGTATTGAAGTCTGGTAACATTCTTGCTCTATAAATAAAACTGCTCTCCGCCAACCTGTGCAGCAGTCAAGTCACGTGTTTATTTTTCTAAAATTCAAATTTCGAATGTGGTTTGATTGCACAAATCTGACAGCAACGTCAGTTGTTGCGGAGACCGTAAGGGGTAATCACGTCTGCCCACATGCAAAACATGGTAATAGTAATAATTGCAATGCGTCTGCTCTGATTATAGATGGGGTATATTCTGATTATAGATAATTATAGTTGGGGGAGGTTGGGTTGCGCTGATGAGCGATTTGGGTATTATTTGCGCTTTATTTTGGTATTTATTGCGCTTGAGTGACGACGCAGATATTATGCTCGGTTATAATAAAATATGTGCGTCCCTTGAGGGCTTTCACCCTTCGGCTTTGTGATGCTGCTTGGACATTGATTTGGATGAATCCTTTAATATAGAATACTGTCATAAATGTTACATTTATGCCGAGATACGAGTAGCTGATAATACTTTTGAACCGAAGTTTGTGTTTAATATAAAAAAAATATAATTCAAAATACCTAAGACATACAATACGGTTTAAAATACTTAAATATATGAATTACATGCTTTTTTTATTAATATTACCTACACATTACGTTTACACGCCCTTAAGCCTAAGTAAATAAAGATGTTTATGTAAGTAAAATAATGTCTTGCGTCAAAATGGAACATGTGACCCCCTTTTTTTTTTTCCGTGCGAAAATCCCCTCGGATACCACCTGTCGGTGGCATGTCGGACTCGAACCGACTAAAACCGCACGCCGTCTCGGGTACTAATAGCCGGGAAACCAGGTATACCCTAGAAAGGAAGTCCCTGGTGAATAGAACATGTGACCCCTAGAGACGAGTATTTGTAATCGTACGTGTACCTATATTTTCAGAATTATATGAATCCAGATCCATGTAGGAGGTTTACAGACGTTCATTTCTCTTTACTGTTTTCCACAAAACCCAAATACGAATTTTGCCCGTCGAATCGTAAAAAAATAGTTTAATTTACATTCACCCTGTCTAGAAATAGATACTGTTAAAATAACAAACAGGTGTAGCAAACAAAACTTTTCCGCTTGTTGAACCGTGCGGTCGACTGGCAACGTTCACAATCGCCAATTATCAAGATTACGTCAATTCTCCTCATGCATGCACTGCTCAATATTTATAGTACTTTTAATGATGTTACAGAGGTATGGAAACAAAACCTTTCATAATTATAACTATAATAATATACAATAATAAGTTTCTTGCCTACAAAGAGAAAAAGCCTCTAACAGAGATCCAAGTGGGTACGTGCCGTTGAAATCCAGGATTAATCCTAGATTAAAACGTACTGTCATTTTTGTTTTTGAATAACCTTATTAGCAATCGTGATGTCTAGGAGAAATTGGGTCATTTACTTATTGTATTTACTTATAATAAATAGATAAGTTATACTTCTTTTAAACAATTATAAATCTTTATTTTAATTCTTCTGTTATTAACATACAAAGAGGATGGTAAGACTTGACTGAAGGTTTAAATTACATTTAATCTAGCAGCTTTTATTTTTCGGCACATTTCCAATCCCATGAATCAGACACTCGAGTGCCTGTTTCATGAGAATAGACTCACTACCATGTGATACTCAAGGTAAACCTGTAGAACTATTGGATTCAGAGACACGTAGCTTACACTTTCAAGGTACTTTCATTAAAGTTTTTACAAATCCCTATTCCATATTTTCCAAGCATCTGAGTGTTGAAACTCAACCGCTAAGCTTACATACCTGGGGGCCATCTATTATATTCATTAGCCACGAACCAAGCGGTGCGGGGCCAGTATCGCGGGGAGGGATGAAGGGTTTTAGCGCACTGATGTGGTGATAAGCGCTTGTTTGGGGTTACCTCAGTTCTTTCGACGAATTTTAATGCCAATTAGAGTAGACAATATTGCCCAGCGAATGGATTGAGGTCTTTATTAATGTCGGATATTGTTGTGGGCCCGTTCGCGTGGAAATTATACCTTGAAAGGGAGCCCCGGGTGATGTTGGAGTGTTATAATAATATGTGATGCCTATTATAGACTTATAGTATTAATATTGTTAAGGGTTTAACATATATTTTTTAGTACTGAATTACGTAGACTGTTTCTGTTTAAAAAAGGAAAGTTTACAAGACAAAGTCGAACGTGGTTAAAAAATGTGTCGCTTCAGGCCTCTGTCCTGTGTAGATAGTTAAATTAGAGAACAAGCGCAATATATCTCAGTTAGTATCCACCACAGACATCGTGCAATTTGTTAGTTTGTTTTGTATAACCTATATGTATTAATTACCTGTGCACCCTCTGAGCGTCCTAAGGTAACATATGGATTTTAATCGACCCTACATAAACATATTACAACTAAAGTGCCCAGTTTATTTTTAGGTATTGCAATGATGTTCACTTGAAGTATTTTCTTAGTTAAGGTAGCGTACCATTTTCTTAGACTGCCACTCACGCTTTTTATTCTATATAACGTGGTAATAAAATTCAATAAAATCAAAACTAGTATAACAGTATTGAATTTTTTTTGGTTCTAGACTACACAATTTAAGTAATTAGAATTCCGTGAAACGTATCATTTTGAAATATACACGAAAGAATATATTAATATTCACACGTGCAGTTTACGCACGAAGAAACGCAACTGTCTGGATATCAAGTCTATTCAATGTATAATGTATCGCATACATCATAACATTAATCTGAGGCGAATGATGGATCGTTCGCGAATACCCACAAGTTGAGTAGACGGGCGACTGTTGCGCTTCAAACATTTTAGAGGAAAAAATTACCAAAAAGCCAGAACCTTGCGTTAACAAGTCATATTTGGATATCATGAAATAAATGTAAGGCCCACCGTAATAAAGTATAGAGAAAACTAGTTGACCCCGCAAACGTTGTTTTGCCATATACATTATTTCAATTTTTTTTGTCAAAAAAAATAATTAGGTGTATGAAAAATAGATGTTGGCCGATTCTCAGACCTACCCGATATGCACACAATGTGTGACACGAGAATTTTATATATTAGATATTAAAAAATAAGAGTATCATTATTATTACATACCTACTTATTACAACAAAATGTTTTTGCTGTGTAACGTTCTATTTCTGACTTCAATATAATTATTCACAATTTATAGCCTAAAATAGTAAAAAACTTTATTATAAATATATTATTTACTGTAGTATTTCTAGACTTAAAAAACTTCAAAAGTGTTATTACCATGTTTGTAATAGGTCCCTCGCAATAAATAGTTGTCCGTCTGAATTCGGTTGAGCATTTTCAAATATTTTTGTGTTGTTTTTTACACCCTCCAAAACAAGTGGTAACTTCTCACGATAGCTCTCGTAAAACAGTTTGTGTGATATTAATTGGATTATTTCGTGTTATGTAGATATTAATAGTAATTCATGGGGATCTCACCCTTCTCTTTAATTATAGAATCTCGTTTATCATAAGATGTAATAATGACTGTGTAAGTTATTGAGGATGGAAATATGTGTTTCGTGTTATAGTTGAACTACTTTACAACTAGTTGGTTAAAACGATGGTCTTTGTAATTTTGATATCAGCTTTTTTTGCTTTCAGTATGTTACTGCTGAGTGTGATACTGTCAGTAGTTGGGATATTGTACGACTCTAGCAAGTTTTCCTTAAATACTTTTATATATAATTTGTCAGACTTCATACAAACACCTCCGCAAACCTTATAGAAATCTAAACTTGTTCTCATTAAGGTTTTCTTTAATGTGATAAGAAATATCAGTTAGAATTGACTTCTATCAGAAGTCTGAATATTAAAAAACGAAATAGAAGATTCACATCTGACTCACACATATTGAATAGGAAATTCGTACAACCCTCATATTTTCTTAGCCAATTCTTTCTTAACAGGTTCACATGACGCCGTTTTTTTTAGTCGTGTGGAAAGCCGATCATCACCTCTCCGAAACTGTCGACTTAAATTACTGTACGCTTTATTATAAATAAGTTAGATCTGAGAGAGAGAGTAGAGTTAGTTGACTGCACGGATGGCGTAGTGGTTTAAGCGGTCGCCACGCCGCTTCCTACTACGCCGAGTGTTGTGGGTTCAAACCCCACATGGGACGACACTTTGTGTGATCCACAAATTATTGTTCTGAGTCTGGATGTTCTTTGTGTCCGTTTCATGAATGTTTGTAAAGTCCCCCGCGACACAGGATTTATTCCTAATGCGGGCGTTGTCTTTTTAAAAAAGAAAAAAAAAAAAAAAGATCAGATAATCTTAGTAACTTTAGTTTCTCGTCTTTAAAAAGATAATTGCCTTAAGAACGAACAAAACGATTTAGTATTGAGGTGAAAATGCAAATAGTCTTTAGAAAAAAGTTAGTAACTGTTAACGATATAGTGGATGAGTGTTCAAAATACCAGTTCTAATCTCACCTACGTTATGGAGGAGTTGGCGAAGAGTACAAAATGATATGCAAAGGCATCAAATTTTTACTAGGAATTTTAGAATCACCGCTTTCGTCGTCTGGCAGTTAGTAATTATTGCAGATATGCTAAGTTGTTTTCTTTTAAAAAGATACATATATACAGATACGTAGAAATTAATCCAATGAAATACTAATCTAATAAGCTACATTTTTCATAAATTTTATAGACAATCTTGTTATTCTAAGTTTCTTCGTTAATCGACCTGCTTCATCGGTCTGAGCGGTATTCCCAGAGGAGCAGTCTCTATAGTTTGAAGTCGTGTCCGCAGGGCAGCAGGCGACATTTTACGAGCCGCTGCCCACTGACCTTTCTGACTCCCTGCTCCCGGTGCTCCGGGACTGAGCAAAATGCCATCATATTTTCTTTTTTAGGGTTCACTGTAACTAAAAAAGAGTTACGTTATTTAGAAATAATTTAGTTCTACCTAACCAAGATCATCGTGAATGTAAAATATGTTTTGGCAAATCCTGTTTGTTACTGGGTCAAAAATTCACTTCTTTGTTAGTTTCTAAATGAAAACTGGAACCCACTAAACTGTGTAAACTTTTACATGTGATGTATGTACTAGTTAATAGAACGTGAGACTTTAGTAAGTGATGAGTAATTTAACCTTTGCTGAACTCATTATTATGGCATGAATGGTCCAGTATACGTACGGGTCCCTCGTTACAGTTGCCAAACTTAAAGCTGACGGTATTCTTTCTACCGCCCGCGCACTCAACGACACTCGATTAATTTTTCACGGTACGCTTGTCAAAATGTGATTTAATATACTGGGGTTGAGTCCAGCTTTGACGTGCGATGCGTGTATCGCGCGGTTGACGGGCCGCGACCAATTCCGTTTAGGGGATATCGCTGTACCTACATTTAGTCTGTCTAGATACATCACGTGTTATATATCTGTTTATCATACAGCTCAATTGTTTTTGGTTTTAACATTTTTTTATGGAAATGTTCGTAATCTGACATTAAAATTACGAGCGACACTTTTCCCAATATGTATTTGCATTGCTCGTTTCCCGACCAAATGTTACGAGCGGTATTATCTATCAATAACGCCAAAAATGGTACCGCAATTTCCAATTTGCCGAGTCACTCCGGATTCCAATAGGAAGCGGGGATAAATGGAGTCACATTCCGATATGTCACCGAGCGGGGGCGACCACTCGGCTTTTCGGCATTCGGGATTCGGCGTTTTCGGATATTCGACCCGCATTCGTTGAATAGTGCCTGCGCGCATACCGCCCGACTGCTAATGAGATTCTAAACGTTTATTCGACGCGTGGCTAATTGTTTTTTGTTCTCCTTTGTTTTTGTAATAATAATGAGCACGTATTTGGGATGACAGCCGTTCTCGGGATCATTGGCTTTTTGTTTGAATGGATAGTGACTCACAATTGTATGTCGGTATGTAGGTCTTGTATTCACTCATACACGTTGCAAATCTAATACACTGTGACAAACTTCGATAAGTACCTAAAGCTTTTCTACGTGAATTCTAACAAGATACGTCCTAAACCTATAATACCAATTAGGAAACGGTCACGGATTCAACTCAATACGTGACGCTGGTTATTATTCTTTATTACAACCTGACACTTTTACACGCAGTGGTACTCAAATAGATAATATTTTTTGAAACTTTACTTGTGAAGCTGGATTTTGTAACTCCTTTTCGCCGCCCAGTTACGCCCTACGTGGGCCCGTTTCTTGGACGTCATCAGCCGCCGACTCCGTTTAACACTCAGCAAAACACCAAAACCACCTCGCATTAGTTCGCATTATTGTGATAGGTAACTATGGAACCCCACATTTTTAGGGCCGAAATTTCAGAAATAATCTTTCAAAACTTTATTTCGAAACTCAACGTGGTTCAACAAAACTTATAGGTTATACATAACTTTTTGGGTTCAACAAAACTTATAGGTGATTCTAAACTTATAAGTTTCAACGAAACCAACCACCTACTCAAAACTTCATAAAAGTATCAGAAACAAAATTTGTAGGTGGTTCAAAACTTTTTAGGTTTCAAAGAAACCAACCACCTATTTAAAACTTCATAAAGGTATATAAAACCAAACTTATACCTAGGTGGTTCAAAACTTATTAGAAAACATCTACCTTTTGTTAAATACACTTAAACAAAACTTCCTAAAGGTAGGTAAAGCAAACGATCGAACGATCCACGAACTTCTTGGTTCGACCATCAGCCACTGTCTGCCTTCTCAGTGGAGGGCTCTGCCCTCTCTGCCGCCAAAACCACCCCGAATACCCATATCCCCGCCATTTTCTCTGTGTTGTCAGAGTCAAAAACTCAATATTACCAAAATTTATTCGTAACAAAAATATTAGATTCTGCATATAAACTACAATTGGGCGTGCCTCGACACGCACTTGGCTGGTATTAACATTAAAATTTGAAAACACACTAGCACTGTAGGTATACGGGAATGTCATTGGATATATTCTTAATGCGTTATTCGTCGAATCTTATTTATATAATACAATTTACAAAAAAAACTATACCCCTGCTTTTTTTTTCTTGCGAAATTTATTAATTTTCTTATGTGCACAGTGCATGTGCACATTTCTAAGCAAAGTATGTATTTGCACTTTAATTTACATTACTTTTTATTTTGTTTAATGTCTGCCCTCTTTTTTGTAAAATTAAAGAAAAGATGAATTCTGAAGTTCCATATATCAATTTCAAAAACTCATGAGATCCTAAAATCGTTAGCACATTGCTAATTGTAAATGCACCTAAAAGATAATGTCTCTCTCTTGTAACAATGTATTGATAGAACTTAGCGCGTAATATTACGACCGGATGGCGTAGTGGTTTGTGGAACGGACTGCTATTCCAACGGTCGCGGGTTCGATTCCCGCTCAAGTCAAACATTTGTGTGCATGAACATTTGATGTTTGATTTGGTCTGGGTGTTTCTATGTACAATATGTATGTATTTACAAAAAAAATATATATATGTATTTATATCAGTTGTCTAGTACCCATAGTACAAGCTCTGCTTAGTTTGGGACTAGATGGCGTTGTGTGTATGTGGTAGAATATTATTATTATTTTTGTAGTCTTAATTTTTCTCAGCTCAAGGCTGGTTTCAACTGTATTTACGGGCCAAAACCAAGTAAATACAGTGAGGTGTGTGTCTTTGTTATGTAGATGTAGATGGTGGTTGCTGTGTGTGTTGTGCTGTTCCGTTCTCTTCAATATCCATGAACTTTCTGACTGTTCGGCAAGTGTTCAATATTGCTGCTTTCTGTAGGTTAAAATACACGGATTCATTTAAATTGATTAATTTAAGGCTATGGTGAAGATGTTTAGGTATAACTCCTGTTGTAGATAGAACTATGGGTACTATGTAAACTTTCTCCTGTCTCCAGATTCGTATTATTTCTTCTTTTAGTTCTGTGTATTTGCTAATTTTTTCTGTGATGGTTTTCTGTAGATTGTGTGTATTCGGTACTGCAATATCAATTAGGTAGGTGGTTTTGTTAATTTTGTCTTGTAGGGTTATGTCTGGTCTGTTAAAGTGGATGGTTCTATCTGTGAGGATGGCGCGGTCGTAGTAAAGTTTGTGTGAGCTACTTTCTAATACAGATTGAGGAGTATAATTGTAGTAAGGTGTGTTTGTGTTTTGTATAAGATGATGTTTGAGTGCTAATTTTTGGTGGATGATGTTAGTTATTTGGTTATGTCTATGTGTATAATCCGTTTGTGTGAGGGTAATGCATGCTCCAGTAATGTGTTGAATGGTTTCAGATTGAATGTGGCATTTTCGGCACTTATCATCTGTAACGGTTGCATCTTTAATTATATATTTTCTATAATTTTTCGTATTAACTATTTGGTCTTGTATAGCTATTATAAATCCCTCTGTTTCTGGAAATAGGTTACCAATTTTAAGCCATGAATTTGACGCTATTGTATCAATGTGGGGTTGCTCTAAATCATGAGGGTGTCTTCCATGTAGTACCTTTTTTTTCCAGTTTTCTATTTTGTCTGCCTGTGGGTCTATGTTATTAGGGTTGTGTATTCCAGTTTGATCATTTAAGTTTAGTGGTGTGAAATTGTAGTCGTTTAGAGTTATGGCTTTATGGATGTTACTTGTGTGTGATTTTGTGCGAAAGAATGTCTTTAGATTATAAACTTGTTTTTGCCAAAGATGATAAATATCTATTAAACCCCTGCCACCATTTTCTCTTTTGATAGTAAGTCTTTCTATGGCGGATTTAGGGTGTAGGTTGTTGTGTTTGGTTAATGTAGTGCGTGTAGTTCGTTCTATTTGCTCTATGTCAGTTTTTGTCCATTTTATAATGCCAAATGAGTAGGTTAGTATTGGAATAGCGTATGTGTTTAATGCTTTTATCAGATTTTTAGCAGAAAGTTGGGTTTTGCATAAAGTGTTAGTTCGACTTTTATATTCAGTAGCTAATATTTGTTTGATTGAGGTGTGATCTAGCCCTTTAAGTTGTTTATAACCTAAATATTTGTATAAATCTGTTGACTCCATAGCTGCTATCGTACTTGACTCATCCACTGCGTAGTCCCCAGGGCGTATTTTCCCTCTGATTATGTGTAACGTTTTACACTTATCCAGTCCAAATTCCATATTTATATCTTTACTAAACTTTGTTGTATTTTGTAATAGTTTTGTCATTTCTTTGTCGGATTTTGCATATAGTTTAATATCGTCCATGTATATGAGATGAGAAATAATAGTTTCTTCTGTAGAATTCCTCAGACGATATCCTGCCTGACATCGCTGCAGCAAATGAGACAAGGGATTCAAGGCAAGACAGAACCACAAGGGGCTCAAGGAATCACCTTGATATATACCTTTTTTTATAGAGATTTGTCGGGTCGTGACTGTTCTATCATTCATATTTAGATGTAATGTGGTTTTCCAATGGCTCATAATATCGCGCATAAAATCTGTGATTTTAGGGTTAATTTTATAGATGTGTAAAATTTTTAAAAGCCAAGAATGTGGGATGCTGTCAAACGCTTTCTTATAGTCTATGTAAGTGCAGTGTAAGTTTCTGTTTTTTGTAGTAGCATGTTTATGGATAGTAGAGTCTATGATCAGCTGCTCCTTGCATTCCATGTGTCCCCGCCTGCATCCTTTTTGTTCTTCTGCTATTATGTGATTGTGTTCAATGTGCATATTAATTTTGTGGGCTATTGCTGATGTAAGAATTTTATATATAGTAGGTAAGCATGTGATGGGTCTGTATTGAGAAGGCTGTGGTGAGTGTGCGGTTTTTGGCAGCATATATGTTATACCCATACCTATAAATTCAGGTATATTCTGTTTCCCCAGAATTATATATGTTAAGTTTTTGGCTATAGGTTTGTGAAATAATGTTATCTTTTTGTACCAGTAATTATGTATTTTATCTATGCCAGGAGATTTCCAGTTGTGTAGTTTACCTGTTACGTGTGCAATATCGTCTTCTGTAATACAATCAAATTCCATTTCTTCTATTGAATTCCATTTATTTTCTTCTTCTGTAATCCAGTCTGCTTTATCATTGTGTTGTACCGGTTCTTCCCAAATACCTGACCAAAATGTTTCAAGTTGTGTCTGTGTAGGAATGTCTATGTTTTCGGGTCTAGTTGTAGCAGTTTGTGGTTTCGATAGGTTTCTATAAAATGATTTTTCATTGAGGGTGAATAACATGTTGTCATTTTTACGCAGTTGTGCTTTTTTATATCTTTTCAGTCGATGTACTTTAAGTGTAAATTTTTGTTTTAATGTGTCTAGGTATTCTTCGGGTTTTCTATTATTATTTTCGTGTCTAGTGTGAGTGCATTGTCTTCTAAAAATTTGTTCTACTCTCTTAACTATTTTGTTTGACCTGTTGTTGTTGATATATTGGGTAAGTCTGCCGCAATCTGCTCTAAGTTGTTCAATGTCTTTTTCTAGTCTTATTTGCCATGGAGGTTTACTATTCTTTCTTAGTATATTTCTAGGGTGATCTATTATTTTATAATTTAGTTCTTCACTTATAACTAACGCTGTGCAGTATATTAAGGTATGAATATCTGTTAATTGTGTATCTTCGGATAAAAATTGGTGTAGTATGTTATGATTAAAAACGTGTGTTAATTCACTAAGTTTCCTACTGTACTTTAATTTAGGCAATTTTGGTCGAGTGATTGGATCCATTCTAGAATATAACGCTAATGCTGTTCTAAATTTTTCTTGTATTTTTTGTATAT